AACCCTATTAGAGGTGCCTATAGGCCTCTATAAACCCTATTAGAGGTACCTATAGGCCCCTATAAACCCTATTAGAGGTGGCTATAGGCTCCTATAACCCTATCAGAGGTGCCTATAGGCTCCTATAAGCACTATTAGAGGTACCTATAGGCACCTATAAACCCTATTAGAGGTGCCTATAAGTTCCTATAAACCCTATTAGAAGTGCCTATAGGCTCCTATAAACCCTATTAGAAGTGCCTATAGGCTCCTATAAACCCTATTAGAAGCGCCTATAGGCTCCTATAACCCTATTAGAGGTGCCTATAGGCCCCTATAAACTCTATTAGAGGTGCCTATAGGCTCCTATAACCCTATTAGAGGTACCTATAGGCCCCTATAAACCCGCTCTGGGCTTCTGTACATCCCTGTACCACCCTTATGGGCCCTTATCCCGCCTATAAGCTCCTCTATGGGTTCCTATAGGTCTCCCTAACCCCCCCCCCCCATGAAACCCTATAGCTCCTATGGGGTCTCCTATGGGGTCTCCTATGGGGCTCCTCTGGGTCGCTGCAGCCCCCTAGTGGCCAACAGAGGCACCACGCGTCCCCAATAGGACTTTAAGGGAAGGGGGGGGAGGATTTGGGGGGGCCCAATGGGTTTTTGGGGGGGGGTGGGTTTGGGGGGGGCCAATGCGGTTTGGGGGGGGTCCAGGGGGGGGGAGGAGGAGGATGTATGGAAACAGCAACTTTATTGAGCCGATACAAACCTCCCCCCATCCCCGACTCATTAAATGTCACCAAAGGGCCCCAAAATCACCCCCCCCCCACCCCGGCTTTAAAATGGGGTCCGGGAACCCCAAAAATGGGGGGAAGAGCCTCAGGATTCCAGGATAAACCCCAAGAATCCCAGGATCCAAACTGAGCCCCTCCCCCCCTCAGCATCACCCCAATGCCCCTCCCCCCCCCCCAACACCCAGGGAGGGCTTTGAGGGGGGTGCAAGGTGGGGGAGGGGGGGGTGTTTGGGGGTGTCAGGAGTCGTAATCTTCCTCCTCTTCCTCTTCCTCGCGGGCCCGGGGGGGGCCGGGGGCTGGGGGGAGCCCCCCTGGTAATGTTGGGGGGGGCCCCAAGGGTGCAAAAGGCCCCCCCGGGCTGTGGGAACAAGGGGTCAATGGAGCCAAAATGGGGGGGGGGGGGGGTTTAACACCCTTCACCCCCTCTCCCCCCCGGTTTGAGGGGGGGGGGTTCCCCCCCAAAAAGGGGTTCCTGGTATTGGGGTACCTGGAGAAGTTAAGGGGGGCGGGTGCGGGGGGGGGCGGTGCTGGCTCCTCCTCCCCATCGCTGTCACTGTCCTCAGAGTCCTCCTGGGGGGGATGGCAATGAGGGGACACAAGGACCCCCAAAACCCACCCCCCCTAGGACCCGTCAACCCCCCTCAAGACCCCCCCAAACCCATCCAGGACCCCCCGAAACCTCCTCAAGACTCCCCCAAACACCTCCAAGATACCCCCAAACCCATCCAGGACCCCCCAAACCCCCTCAAGACCCCCCCAAACCCATCCAGGACCCCCCAAGCCCCCTCAAGACCCCCCCAAACCCATCCAGGACCCCCTAAACCCCCTCAAGACCCCCCCCCCATCCAGGATCCCCCAAACCTCCCCAAACCCATCCAGGGCTCCCCAAACCCCCCTCAAGACCCCCCCAAACCCATCCAGGACCCCACAAACCCCCTCAAGACCCCTCAAATGCATCCAGGACCCCCCGAAACCCCTCAAGACCGCCCCCAAACACCTTCAAGACCCCCCCAAACCCATTCAGGACCCCCCAAAACCCCCTCAAGAGCCCCCCAAACCCACCCAGAACCCCCCAAACCCCCCCCCCCGGACCCCGTCAACCTCCCATTTGGAATATTGGGGTCCCCCCCCCACCTCCTGCTCCGTGTCCGTTCCTGACTGTTTGGGATCCTTCCCCTTCCCACCGGGACCCCCGTTCTTCCGGCCAGCTCCGGGGCGACGACCCCTGAAAGAGCCCCCCCCAAGACATTGGGGACCCCCCATTATCACCCATAACACCCCTATGGGAAGGACCCCGGTATTGGAGACCCCCCCCCATTCGCATTGGATCCAGTGGTTTGGGGATCCCCTCCCTGTACCCCATTCCCATAGGGAATTCCATTGGGGAACCACTCTCTCATCGACCCCCCCTTCCTCTGGCACCCCCATGGGGATGTCAGGGGGGGTCCCATGTGTATGGGGGGGGGGTCTCTGATGTAGGGGACGTCCCATATATTGGGGGGGGGGCATCACCCACCTGCGGGGCCCCCTCTCCCCATCGCCATGGGGCTCCTCGCCTTCCCCTTGCATATCCGGTACGGCGGCCACTAAATCCTTAAGGAAGTCGAACTGCTGCTCCAGCTCGATGCATTGCTTCCTATGGGAAAAGGGGGCGGGGTCAGCAGGCCACGCCCCCAGCATCAAACCACGCCCCCTCACTATTAAGCCCCGCCCCTCCATAAGGCTTAAAGGGGGGAATGAGATAACCAAGGCACGGAGCGATGCAGACCCCCCATAATGGGTCCTGGGTACCACCCCCCCCAAAATGGGGTCCAGGGACCCCAATGGGCCCTGGGTGCTGGGGATGGGTGCTCACAGGTGGGACGTGGTCATGGTCTTGGCATTGCGGGACTGGGTGACGTGGCAGGCCTTCCGCAGCAGCGACTCCAGGAAGAGCTCCAGGGCACGGGCTGGGGTGCTAAGGACCCCCACGGACACCCCCTGGCACCCATGGGTACCAATGGACACCCATAGACCCCCATAAACCATAATGGACACTCATGGAGCCCTAGGGATCCCCACAGCCACCTCCCCATGGGCACCCATAGACCCCCATAAACCATAATGGACACCCATGGACCCCTAGGGATCCCCACAGCCACCTCCCCATGGGCACCCATAGGCACCCATGGGTACCAATGGACACCCATAGACCCCCATAAACCATAATGGACACTCATGGAACACTAGGGATCCCCACAGACCCCTCCATGGGCACCCATGGACACCCAGAGAGCTCCCATGGACCCCCAACCCCTTCACTAGCCCATGGGCAACCAGGTCCCAAGTGCACCCCAATCCCATGGGACCAGGGGCTACCCATAGACAGGCAGTGACATGATGACATGGGAAGGACTCAAAGGGCTGGGGGCCACCCAGGCCTGTGGGATAGAGGGGACCTCAGGAGGGATGGCACTGGGGGTCCTCAGGAGCACCCATGTGGGCAGTGGGAGGGGTGGGGGACAATGACACCCCAATATCCATGCTGGGGTGACTCCGGTGCCGCTGCTCCATAAGGATACAGATGATGACGGGGACGGCGGCCGCCACCTTCCCGATCTCCTCATCCGTCTGCATGATCTTCTTGATCCGTGCCTGCGGAACAGGAGGGAAACTGAGGCATGGACATGCCCCGCCCTTTCCAAAGCCACGCCCCCTTCCCATAACCACGCCCCCATCCTTTTATATGGGGCTGAAGGGGGCCATGCCCTTTCTTAAACCATGCCCCCCAAACACCTTAAAAGGAGGATCCCTCCAGAAGCCACGCCCCCAAACCGATGCCACAGCCGTTGCCATAGTCATGAACCCCCACATGCCCTCACCTGGGCCCATAAGCACCGCCCCCTGTACAAGCCACGCCCCTTCCCATAACCACGCCACTTCCCGTAACCACCTGCCCTCCATCCTTTTATATGGGGCTGAAGGGGACCATGCACAAGCCACGCCCCCTCTTAAACCATGCCCCCAATCGAGGCCACGCCCCCTTAATACTTTACAAAGGGGGTTCCCTCCAGAAACCACGCCCCCAAGCTGATGCCTCGCCCGTTGCCATGGTCACGAACCCCATATGCCCTCACCTGACCCCATAGGCACCACCCCCTGCACAAACCACGCCCCCTCCCATAACGACCCGCCCTGCATTCTTTTATATGGGGCTGGAGGGGACCACGCACAAGCCACGCCCCCTCTTAAACCACGTCCCCACTCGAGGCCACGCCCTTAAACACCTTACAAGGGGGGGCTCCCTAAAGAAGCCACGCCCCCAAGCCCGTTGCCATGGTCACGAACCCCACACGCCCTCACCTGGGCCTATAGGCACCGCCCCCTGCACAAGCCACGCCCCTTCCCAAAGACCACACCCCCCTCTCAGGGCACGCCCGCACGCACAGCCCTCCCTGTTGCCATGGTGATACTCCCCCGCCCCCCGCCAGCCCCGCCGCCACTTCCGCCTCAGGCCCCGCCTCTCCCCGCTGACCGGCGGGAACCGCGCGTTGTATTTCTTCTTCTTGCTCGGCATCGCCCCGGTTCCGGTTCCGGTGCCGCTGGGTCCCGCTTCGGGCCCCGGCACCGGCTGGGCCTCTCCCTTGCTCCGCTCCGGCTCCGAGGCCCTGCCGCCAACAAACCCCGCCCCTTCCGGGAGGGGCGGGAAACAATCCCCGCCTTTTCCGGTTATAGCTCCGCCTCCCTCAGGGCTGCGCTTTGCGCACGGCCCGCTAACCGCACCAACGCAGACCACGCCCCCTTGAAGCCACGCCCCCAAATCAAAGCTCAGTCATACCATTTATTGGGGTGATTTATGGGGGGGGGATATAAAGGGAGGGGGTTTAAATCCTTCCCCTCCCCCCCAAATAAGGCACTTTGGTTTGGGGGGACAGGGTTAATGCTGGTGACGGGGGGGCCCTGAGGACTCCCAGTGACCCCCAGTTGCAGTCCCATGGTCCCCAGTAGCCCCCAGACACCCCCCTATAGGCACTTGGTTGCTTCCCAGTGACTCCCAGTTCTATGCTGGGATTGCTCAGTCCCATCCAGACCCCTCCCAGTGACCGCCCCCTCCCCACGACCTTTCCCAATAGCCCCCCCAGTCAATCCCAGTTGCCCTCCAGTAACCTCAGGGCCCCCTAAAAGCCTCCCCATAGGCCCCTAGTTCCACCCCCCCTCCCCACTTTAAACCCTCCCAGTAGCTCCCAGTTCCTCCCAGTTAGGAGGAGGGGAAATGGCTGAGCAAGGCACTGAAGTCCAAGTCCCCAAGGGAGGGCAACGAATCCTCGGGGTCCCCCCCCACTCCCCCCCCCAAATCAGGGCACCCCCCCCCTACATCCTCGACCCCCCCACCCCCCCCAACCCCATCCCCCCCCTGCACGAGGCGAGCGATGGCTTCCGGGTACGACATCAGCATGGGGGGGTTGGGGGGTGGGGGAGGAGCAGTTACCCCCCCCCCTCCTCCATCCCCCCGTCCCCCCCCCAGAGGCAAAGGGGGGTCCCCAAAGAGCGGAGTGGGGGGGTCGGGGGGGCCCAGCAGCCGTTGCACCTCGGCGGCATTGATGGTCTCCAAGGGGGGGAAATGGGGGTCCCCCAAGAGCACCCCCAGGTCCAATGGGGACCCCCCCGCGTCGGGAATGGGCCCTTCCTCAGCCACCTGCAGCTGCAGCAGGGCCTCGGCCAAGGGCTCGGCTGCGGGGGGGGCGGGGGGAGCAGCGTCCCCCAAAACCCCCCCCGGGACCCCGAAACACGGGGGGGGGGCTGTGGAGAGGAGGAGTGAGGGGGGGGGGCAAAGCAGGCACAGAGATCCCAGTGCCCCCCAGTAGCACCCAATAGACCTCAATAGTTCCCAGTAGCCCCTATTCACTCCCAGTAACCCCCATTCACCCCCAGGAGGCCCCCAATAGCTCCCAGTAGCACCCAGTCACTCCCAGTGTCCCCCAGTAGCACCCAATAGCCCCCAATAGCTCCCAGTCACTCCCATTAGCTCTCCAGTAGCCCCGCAATAGCTCCCAGTAGCCCCCATTCACTCCCAGGAGGCCCCCAATAGCTCCCAGTAGCCAGCAGTCACTCCCAGTGTCCCCAAGTAGCACCCAATAGCCCCCAATAGCTCCCAGTCACTCCCAGTAGCTCCCCAGTAGCCCTCCAATAGCTCCCAGTAGCCCCCGTGTGTGTTGTGTGCCAATAGCTCCCAGTAGCCCCCATTAGCCTCCCAGTAGCACCCAATAGCCCCCAATACCTCCCAGTCACTCCCAGTAGGCCCCAACTGGAGCCCCCCAATAGCTCCCAGTAGCTCCCAGTCACTCCCAGTGCTCCCCAGTAACACCCAACAGCGCCCAATAGCTCCCAGTACCCCCCAGTACCCCCCTGACCCCCCACAGTTTCTCACCCATGGAGGGGGGGGGCTGCGGGGCCGGGCAGGGCCGCGAGGGCACCGCGAAGCGCCGGGGGGGGCGGGGCTCAGGGGGGGCGAGACCTGGGGGGGGGGGGAAGAGGAAAAAGGGAGGGAACGTCAGGGACCCCCCTTGGGGACCCCCAATATCCCCCATGGGCAACAATAACCCCCCACCCGGACCCCAATACCCCCCCTAGGGCCGCAATAACACCCCCTGGGGACCCCAATATCCCCCATGGGCAACAATACCCCCCCCCCAGGACCACAATACCCCCCCTAGGGCAACAATAACCCCCCCTGGGGACCCCCAATACCCCCCCTTAGGCAACAATAACCCCCCCCCAGGACCCCAATACCCCCTCAGGGACCCCAAATACCCCCCATGGAACCCAAATACCCCCTCAGGGACCCCAAATACCCCCCCTAGAGCCTCAATCATCACCCCTGGAAGCTGAATACCCCCCCCCAGGCACTCAAATACCCCCCCTAGGGCCCCAATAACCCCCCCTGGGGACCCCCAATAGCCCCCCATGAGCAACAATACCCCCCCCCAGAGACTCCAAATACCCCCCCAGGGACCCCAAATACCCCCCCTATGGCCCCAGTACCCCCCCCATGGCCCCAGTACCCCCCATTGCCCCCCCGTGCCCCCCACCGGGCATTGGGCTGCGCTGCACGAAGGAGCGGAAAGTGTCCCGGGTGCGCTTGCGCTTCTCCTCGATGCACTGCAGGTCCCCTGGCGGCAGAGACCAGAGAGACCAGTTAGAGACCAGTAAGAGACCAGTAAGAGACCAGTTAGAGACCAGTAAGAGACCAGTAAGAGACCAGTGAGACACCAGTAAGAGATCAGTGAGAGACCAGTAAGAGACCAGTGACACCAGTGAGAGACCAGTGACCTCCAGTGACCCCCCAGAGCACCCCAGGATGACAAAGGAGACCCCAAGGGACCCAGGAATGATCCCAAAGGGACCCAGGAGCACCCAAGATGCAATGGGCCACGAGTCCCCCTATCCCTGTATCCATATCCCATATACCCTATCTCCATATCCCATATTGCCATGCCCTTTATCCCTATATCCCCATGTCCGATATTCTCATATCCCCATGTCCCCCATCCCCATATCCCAGTGTTCTGTATCCCCATGTCCCCATATCCCATATCCCTATCCCATACCCATATCCCTATCCTTATACCATACCCATATGCTATATCTTTCTCCAATATCCACATGCCTATCCTTATCCCATATCCCTATCCCATATCCATATCCCTATCCTTATCGCATACCCATATACTATATCCCTATCCCATATTCATATCCCTATCCTATATTCATATTCTATATTCCTATCCCATATCCATATCCCTATCCCATACCCCTATCCCTATATCCCATATCCATATCCTATATCCCTTTCTCATATCCATATCCCTATCCTGATCCCATACCCATATTCTATATCCCTATCCCATATCCATATCCCTATCCCATACCCATATCTTATATCCCTATGCCATATCCATATCCATATCCCTATCCCTAATCCATATCTTATATCCCTATCCCATATCCCTATCCTTATCCCATACCCATATTCTATATCCCTATCCCATATCCATATCCATGTCCCTATCCCATACCCATATCCTATATCCCATACCCATATCCTATATCCCTACCCCATATCCATATCCCCACCCCATGTCCCTATTCTGTATCCATATCCTATATCTCATACCCATATCCTGTATCCTATACCCCTTTCCCATATCCCTATTCCCTATCTCTGCTACCCATCCCCATCCCCCATCCCCCATCCCCATCCCCCCCCCCCATGCTCCCACCCTGATGGGGCAGGTAGCGGAACTCCATGGCCCCATTGCCCCCATGGCCCCATTCCCCCCATGCTCCCACCCTGATGGGGCAGGTAGCGGAACTCCATGGCCCCATTGCCCCCATGGCCCCATTCCCCCCATGCTCCCACCCTGATGGGGCAGGTATTGGAACTCCATGGCCCCATTGCCCCCCATGCTCTCACCCTGATGGGGCAGGTAGCGGAACTCCATGGCCCCATTGCCCCCCCTGCTCCCACCCTGATGGGGCAGGTAACGGACTCCATGGCCCCATTCCCCCCCATGCTCCCACCCTGATGGGGCAGGTAACGGAACTCCATGGCCCCATTCCCCCCCATGCTCTCACCCTGATGGGGCAGGTAACGGAACTCCATGGCCCATTCCCCCCCCTGCTCCCACCCTGATGGGGCAGGTAACGGAACTCCATGGCCCCATTCCCCCCCATGCTCCCACCCTGATGGGGCAGGTAGCGGAACTCCATGGCCCCATTGCCCCCCATGCTCCCACCCTGATGGGGCAGGTAGCGGAACTCCATGGCCCCATTCCCCCCCAGTGCTCCCACCCTGATGGGGCAGGTAGCGGAACTCCATGGCCCCATTCCCCCCATGCTCCCACCCTGATGGGGCAGGTAACGGAACTCCATGGCCCCATTGCCCCCCATGCTCCCACCCTGATGGGGCAGGTAACGGAACTCCATGGCCCCATTGCCCCCAGTGCTCCCACCCTGATGGGGCAGGTAGCGGAACTCCATGGCCCCATTGCCCCCCATGCTCTCACCCTGATGGGGCAGGTAGCGGAACTCCATGGCCCCATTCCCCCCCATGCTCCCACCCTGATGGGGGAGGTAGCGGAACTCCATGGCCCCATTCCCATTGCCCCCCAGTGCTCCCACCCTGATGGGGCAGGTAGCGGAACTCCATGGCCCCATTCCCCCCAGTGCTCCCACCCTGATGGGGCAGGTAGCGGAACTCCATGGCCCCATTGCCCCCCATGCTCCCACCCTGATGGGGCAGGTAGCGGAACTCCATGGCCCCATTCCCCCCCCATGCTCCCACCCTGATGGGGCAGGTAGCGGAACTCCATGGCCGCGCTGCGCTGCCGGTCCGAGGGGCGCTGCAGCTCCATGTGCACGCTGTGGGGCTGGCGGAGGCCGGGGTCCCGGAAGGCCGGGGTCCGGAACACGATGGCGACCTGGCGGTGGACATCGGCCTGCGCGAAGGAGCCCCGCGCCTCCCAGCCCTCGGCCCAGAACCGCACCTCGATGTCCTCTGCGGGGGAGACATGGGGGGGGGGAGGCATAGGGTGAGGGGGGAGCCATAGGGTGGGGGGGGAGACATAGGGTGGGGGGGCACCCATAGGGTTGGGGGGATCCAGAAGGTGGGGGGGGATCCATAGGGTGGGGGGCACCCATAGGGTTCGGGGGCACCCATAGTGGGGGGGCAACCATGGATGGGGGGCACCCATAGGGTTGAGGGGGCACCCATAGTGTGAGGGTGATTTTGGGCTGGTTTGGGGCTGTTTCATAGTGTTTCAGGGTGATTTGGGGCTCTTTTGGGCTCTTTCTGGGTGTTTCGGCGTGATTTGGGGCTGTTTCAGGGCGATTTGGGGCTGTTTTTGGCTGTTTCATGAGGCTTCAGGGTGATTTTGGGCTGTTTTGAGGCGATTTGGGGCTGTTTTGGGCTGTTTCTGGGTGTTTTGGGGTGATTTGGGGCTGTTTCTGGGTGATTTTGGGCCTGTTTTGGGGTGATTTTGGGGTGATTTGGGGCTGTTTGGGGTGATTTTGGGCTGTTTCTGGGTGATTTGGGGCCTGTTTTGGGCTGTTTTGGGGTGATTTTGGGGTGATTTGGGGCTGTTTGGGGTGATTCTGGGCTGTTTCAGGGTGATTTTGGGCTGTTTTGGGGTGATTTTGGGGTGATTTTGGGCCTGTTTTGGGCTGTTTTGGGGTGATTTTGGGCCTGTTTTGGGCTGTTTTGGGGTGATTTTGGGCCTGTTTTGGGCTGTTTTGGGGTGATTTTGGGATGATTTGGGGCTGTTTGGGATGATTTTGGGCTGTTTCTGAGTTATTTTGGGCCTGTTTTGGGCTGTTTTGGGGTGATTTTGGGGTGATTTTGGGCTGTTTCTGGGTGATTTTGGGCCTGTTTTGGGGTGATTTGGGGCTGTTTTGGGCTGTTTCTGGGTGTTTTGGGCTGTTTTGGCGTGATTTGGGGCTGTTTTGGACTGTTTCTGGGTGTTTTGGGGTGATTTTGGGGTGATTTGGGGCTCCTTTGGCACTGACCTTTCTGCACTTTGTCGCACAGGAGGAAGATCTCGTCCCCCCCCCGGCAGCTCCCGCAGTTCCGGTTCACGCGGCAGATCCGCAGCTCGGCCGCGCTGGGGGCGCCTGGGGGCGGGGCTTGGGTCACGTGGGGTCACATGGGGTCATGGGGGTCACATAGGGTCATAGGGGTCACGTGGGGTCACACGGGGTCATAGGTGTCACGTGGAGGTCATGTGGGGTCATGAAGGGGCATAGGGGTCCCACGGGGTCATGGAGGGTCATAGGGGTCATGTGGGGTGATAGGGGTCACGTGGGGGTCACACAGGGTCACAGGGGTCATGTGGAGGTCACGTGGGGTCATGAAGGGTCATAGGGGTCCCACGGGGTCATGGAGGGTCATACGGGTCAAATGGGGCCATGGAGGGTCATAGGGGTCACACGGGGTCATGGAAGGTCATAGGGGTCACACGGGGTCATGGAGGGTCATAGGGGTCACACGGGGTCATGGAGGGTCATAGGGGCCACATGGGGTCACACAGGGTCATGGAGGGTCATGGGGGTCACGGAGGGTCATAGGGGTCACATGGGGTCACACAGGTCATGGAGGGTCAAACAGGTCACATGGGGTCACAGAGGGTCATAGGGGTCACCTAGGGTCCCATGGGGTTATGTAAGGTCGTAGGGGTCACCTAGGGTCCCATAGGGTCACACAGGGGCCATAAGGGTCAAGTGGGGTCATCTGGAGTCACACAGACTTATATGGGGTCCCTAAAGGGGTTATTTGGGGTCCTGAGGGTGGTATTGAGGTCCCAGGGGGGTATTTGTGGTCCCAGAGGGGTATTTGGGGTCCAGGGGGGGTATTTGGGGTGTCGGGGGGGGTTATCGGGGTCACTCACGGTTGTCATAGACGGGCTGGGACCGGCGGGGGGGCAGCGGGAGCCACCCCCCCCCCGCGCCCCGCACCCACACCTGGAAGCAGAGCCGCACCGAGCTCAGGTCGTACTCGCCCCCCCGCTGCTCTGCTGGCACTGGGAACCGGTAGGGACCAGCGTTAACCAGTATGGACCAGTGTTAACCAGTACGGACCAGGGTTAACCAGTATGGACCAGCATTAACCAGTATGAACCAGCGTTAATCAGTATGAACCAGTGTTAATCAGTATGGACCAGCGTTAATCAGTATGGGCCAGTATCGACCAGTGTTAACCAGTATTGACCAGCATTAATTAGTATGGAACAGTATGGACCAGTGTTAACCAGTATAGACCAGTGTTAACCAGTACAGACTGGTATGGAGCCCCCAGGACCCTACAGCAGCACCCCCTCCACATCCCCAAGAGCCTCCCAGCATAAACCCGGCTAAAACCAGTCACCCTCCCCTTGCTTCCCAGTACCCCCAGTCGTCCCCCACCCCCATTCCCAGTGCTCCCAGTACCATTGAAGGGGTTGTTGTTGGTGCGGATGCGCTCGGCCACGGCCGCCTCCAGCTCCCGTTTCTTCACACACTGAATTCCCAGGTTCTGGAAACTGAATGGGAGGGGGGTCACCCCATAGATGGGGGTCCCAGCCCCACACCTGGGGGTCCTGCCCCATACTTGGGGGTCCCTGCCCCACACTTGGAGGTCCCACCCCCACATCTGGGGGTCCTGCCCCACACTTGGGGGTCCCAGCCCCACACTTGGGGGTCCTGCCCCACACTTGGGGGTCCCAGCTGCACACTTGGGGGTCGCAGCCCCACACTTGGGGGTCCCAGCCCCACACTTGGAGGTTCTGCCCCACACTTGGGGGTCCCAGCTCCACACTTGGGGGTCCCAGCTCCACACCTGGGGGTCCTGCCCCACACTTGAGGGTCCCAGCCCCCCACTTGGGGGTCCTGCCCCACACTTGGGGGTTCTAGCCCCACACTTGGGGGTCCTGCCCCACACTTGGGGGTCCCAGCCCCACACTTGGGGGTCCCAGCCCCACACTTGGGGGGTCCCAGCCCCACACTTGGGGGTCCCAGCCCCACACCTTGGGGTTCAGCCCCACACTTGGGGGTCCCTGCCCCACACTTGGGGGTCCTGCCCCACCTGTGCACGCTGCGCTCGGGGGGCAGCTCAGCCTCATAGTAGCCGTCGTGGCAATCCTTGCCCACCAGCTCGTGGGGGTGCGGGCGGTGGGGGGGGTCCTTGGTCACCAGCGACACCCGCACCCGGCTCGGGCCCCGGTAGTTGTTCACCTGCGGGGGGGGGGCAAATGCACTGGTTTATACTGGTTTGGATTAGTTTGGTCTAGTTTATACTGGTTTGGATTGGTTTAGATTGGTTTGGAAGGGTGTATACTGGTTTGTACTCGTCTACTGGTTTCTACTGGTCTCGTCTATACTGGTTTGCACTGGTCTACATTGGTTTGTACTGGTCTATCTATATTTGTTTAGACTGGTCTGTACTGGTCTGTACTGGTCTATACTGCTTTGTACCGGTCTGGGCTGCACTGCTCTATACTGGTTTGTACTGGTCTGGTCTGTACTGGTCAGTACCGGTCTGTGCTGGTCTATAGCGCTCTGTGCAGGTCTGTAGTGGTCTGTACCAATCTGTACTGCTCTAATCTGTACAGGTCTATACTGGTCTGTACTGGTTTGTACTGGTCTGGTCTGTACTGGTTTGCAATTGTCTATACTGGTGTGTATTGTTGTGTACTGGTCTATACTGATCTATACTGATTTGCACTGATCTATACTGATCTGTACTGGTCTATAGAGCTCTATACAAGTCTATACTGGTTTGTACTGGTCTATGCTGTTCTACACAAGTCTATACTAGTCTGTACTGATGTATACTGGTTTGCACTGATCTATACAAATCTGTACTGGTCTATAGTGTTTTATACAGGTCTATACTGGTTTACGCTGGTCTATACTGGTCTGTACTGATCTATACTGGTTTGCACTGATCTATACGGATCTGTACTGGTCTATAGTACTCTATACAGATCTATAGTAGTTTATACTGATCTATAATGCTCTATACAAGTCTATACTGGTTTGTAGTGGTCTATAGTGCTCTGTACAGGTCTATATTGGTATGTACTGGTCTATTATGCTCTATACAGATCTATACTGGTTTGCACTGGTTTGCACTGGTCTATACTAGTTTGCACTGGTCTATCCTGGTTTGTACTGGTCTATACTGGTTTGCACTGGTCTATACTGGTTTGCACTGGTCTATCCTGGTTTGTACTGGTCTATACTGGTGTGCACTGGTCTATACTGGTTTGCACTGGTCTATCCTGGTTTGCACTGGTCTATACTGGTTTGCACTGGTCTATGCTGGTGTGCACTGGTCTATGCTGGTGTGCAGCGGCGGGCAGCGGCCGGGGCGGGTGCTCACGCGGATGGTGGGGTGCGTGCGCGCGCTCTCGGTGCTGTGCTCCCCAGGGATGCTCCCGGCCGAGCGCCCCTCGCACTTGTACCGGAACCGCATCCCCCGCGCCTTGGGCTGCTCCAGGATCTCCACTGACGGGGCTGGAGCTGGGGGGGGCCCTGCGGGGACTGAGGGCAATGAGAATGAGTGACCCCCCCCTGGACCCCATTGAAACCCCTTAAACACCCCCATTGAACCCCCTCAACCCCCCCATTGAACCCCCTTAACACCCCCCCATTGACCCCTTAACACCCCCCCATTGACCCCATCAACCCCCACCATTGAACCCCCTTAACACCCCCCCATTGACCCCTTAACACCCCCCCATTGACCCCATCAACCCCCACCATTGAACCCCCTTAACACCCCCCCATTGACCTCTTAACACCCCCCCACTGACCACTTAACACCCCCCATTGAACCCATCAACACCCCCGCATTGACCCCGTAACACCCCCCCATTGACCTCTTAACACCCTGCTACTGACCCCTTAACACCCCCCCATTGACACCGTAACACCCCCCCCATTGACCCCATACCCCCCATTGACCCCATCCCCCCCATTGACCCCATACCCCCCATTGACCCCATACCCCCCCATTGACCCCATAGCCCCCCCATTGACCCCATAGCCCCCCCATTACCTTAACAGCCCCCCATTGACCCCTTAACACCCCGCTATTGACCCCTTAACACCACCGCATTGACCCCTTAACACCCCCCCATTGACACCTTAACACCCCCCATTGAATCCCTCAACCCCCCTAGAACCCCCTCAACACCCCCCTATTAACCCCTTAACACCCCCCATTGAACCTCCTCAAACCCCCCCATTGAACCCCTCAACCCCCCCATTGACCCCTTACCACTCCCCATTGAACCCCCTCAAACCCCCCCATTGAACCCCTCAAACCCCCCACTGGCCCCCCTCAACACCCCCCCATTAACCCCTTAACACCCCCCATTGAACCCCTCAACACCCCCCCACTGGACCCCCTCAACACCCCCCCATTAACCCCTTAACACCCCCCATTGAACCCCTCAAAACCCCCCCACCGACCCCCCTCAACCCCCCCCATTAACCCCTTAACACCCCCCCATTGACCCCATTAACCCCTTGACACCCCCACTGACCCCCTCAACCCCCCCATCGAACCCCCAAACCTCCCTTTAATGCTCACTTGGCCCCCATTGAACCCCCCAACGATCTCCCTTAACCCCCATTAACCCCCCCCAACACCTCCTTAGCCCCTATTGACCACCCCAACCCCCCCTTGAACCCCCAATGACACCCCCTGGCCCCCATTAATCCCCTTTGGACCCCCCCTTGACCCTCCTTCCCCCCTTAGACCCCCCCAAAACCCTTTTCTGCCCCCCCATGACCCCCTTGACCCCCATTTACCCCCTTTGACCCCCCATGACCCCCCCGCACTCACCATCCCCCCCCCAGTCCTGCTTCAGGAGGAACGAGAGAAGCTCCGGGGGGGTCACTATAGGGAACAGGAAAGGGGGGTGGGTGTCACATGACAGCAGGGTGTCACATGACCCCCCCCAATTGAACCCCGTTTTTCCCGTGTTAACCCTGGAACCTACTGACGGCTCCGGCTGCGTTTGACGTCATTAAGGAGGGAAAGGGGGGGGGACACTTACCGTCCTCCATGGCGGGAAAAGGGGGAGGGGAAGGCGGGAAAAGGAGGGGGGGGAACGCGGGAATACCGGGAATAGCGGGAACGGGGAAGGAAGGAAGGGGGGGGGGTGAGGGAACAGCCACGATCGCAGCTCCGCTTCCGCGAGCGCCACGTGGCCCCGCCCACCGCGCTCGGCGGGAAGGGGCGTGGTTAAAAGCGGAAGTGAGCCGGGGAACCCGGAAGTGGAGGCACAGGAGGATGGCGGAGGGGGTGAGTGAAAGGAGGAGGTGTTGGGGGGGGAGGGGTTCCAAAAACGGCCTCAAGGGGGGGTTGGGGGGACCCGGCGGGGGGTTGGGGACCCCTTTGGGGGTGCGGGGACCCCTCCGGAGCCTTCCGGGGACACCGGGAACCCTCCCGGTCCCGTCCCCCACTCCCTAGGCCTGACGGTCCCGCGTCCCGCCTCCCCCCCCCCCGCAGATGGACGTGTCCGAGGGCTGCCGCCTGCCCGTGCTGCGGCGTAACCAAGACAACGAGGATGAGTGGCGTGAGCGGGGGCGGGGCTTGCGTGGAGGGGCGGGGTTTGAGTGGATGGGGTGGGTGGAGGGGGGCGTGGTTTGGACCCGAAGGAGTGGGGTTGGAGCGAGGAAAAGGGCGTGGTTTGGAGCGCAGGGGAGGGGCCAGAGCGGAGGGGGCGTGGCTTGCGACCAGCGGGGGTCCGTGGGGTCCTAAAGGGAGACGCGTGTTGGGGGGGGGCAGACACAATGGGGGCATTTTGGGGGGCAATGGTGGGGTTTGGGGGGGTCCATCCCATTGTTGGGGGGTTGGGGGGGGATGTGATCGGGGTGTCCCCAAAAGAGGGGTGGTGACACCCCCATTGTCACCCAGCGCTAGCCGAGATCCTGAGCGTGAAGGACATCAGCGGGAGGAAGCTCTTCTACGTGCACTACATTGACTGTGAGTCAATGGGGGGGACATGGGGGGCATCACACACACACATGACATGGTACCCCCCATATGTGGGGACATAGAGTGGCTATGGGGGGGGTTAGAGGGGATATGGGGGTGCAAGTGCCCCTCCGTCACCCCATGTGTGTTCCTTGGGGTGGGAACACAGAAGGGGGCTATAGGGGGTGGGCATGGAGGGGACATTGGGGGGTGTAGAAGTGTTATGGGGCGCCGTGGGGCTGCCGTTGTCACCCCATGTGTGTGCCCAAGAATGGGTTGGGGACATATAGGGGCCATAGGGAGACGTGGGGGGCCATAGGGGGACATAGAGGGGCCATGAGGGGCCATAGGGAGACATAGGGAGACATAGAGGTGCCAAGAGGGGCCATAGGGAGACATAGAGGGGCCATAGGGGGACATAGAGGGGCCATAAGGGAACATAGGGGGACATGAGGGGCCATAGGGGGCCATAGAGGGGTCATAGGGAGATATAGAGGGGCCATAGGGACCATAGAGGGGCCATAGAGGGCCATAGAGGGACCATATGGGGACATGGGGGCCATAGAGGGGCCATAGGGGGCCATGGAGGGGCCATAGGGAGACATAGGGGACCATAGAGGACCATAGAGGGGCCATAGAGGGGCCATAGAGGGGCCATAGAGGGACCATAGAGGGGCCATAGAGGGACCATAGAGGGGCCATAGAGGGGCCATAGAGGGGCCATAGAGGGACCATAGAGGGGCCATAGAGGGGCCATAGAGGGGCCATATAGGGACCATAGAGGGACCATAGAGGGGCCATAGAGGGACATAGAGGGGCCATAGGGGGCCATAGAGGGGCCATAGAGGGACATGGGGGCCATAGAGGGACCATAGATGGGCATAGAGGGACAATAGGGGTACATAGAGGGGCCATAAGGGACCATAAGGGGGCATAGAGGGGCAATAGAGGGGCCATAGAGGGGCCATAGGAGACATGGGAGCCATAGAGGGTCCATAGGGGGACATAGAGTGTCCATAGGGGACCGTAGAGAGGCTATAGGGGGACATGGGGGCTATAGAGGGTCCATAGGGGGCCATAGAGGAGCCATAAGGGACCATAGGGGGTCATAGAGTAACCATAGTGGCCATGGGGTGCTATAGTGGCCATGGGGTGCCATAGTGGCCATGGGGTGCCACAGGGGCCATGGGGTGCCATAGTGGCCATGGGGTGCCACAGGGGCCATGGGGTGCCATAGTGGCCATGGGGTGCCATAGGGGCCATGGGGTGCCATAGTGGCCATGGGGTGCCATAGTGGCCATGGGGTGCCACAGGGGCCATGGGGTGCCATAGTGGCCATGGGGTGCCATAGTGGCCATGGGGTGCCATAGTGGCTATGGGATGCCATAGTGTCCATGGGGTGCCATAGTGGCCATGGGGTGCCATAGTGGCCCTGCTGACCCCATTACCCCCCCATTGTCCCCAGTCAACAAGCGCCTGGACGAGTGGGTGACGCAGGAGCGGCTGGACCTGAAGCGGGTGCAGGGTCCCCGCAAGGAGGCCAAGACCCCAACCAAGAACGGGCTCCCCGGTTCCCGGCCCGGCTCTCCCG